AGCTGGATTGCCGGATTCCAGCTCGAAAAGCGGATCCCCAAGACAACCTTCATCACGGCCCCCTTTCAGGAGGGATTGGCCGGGGATCCGCTTTTCGAGCTGGATTCCAGCTCGAAAAGCGGATCCCCAAGACAACCTTCATCACGGCCTCCTTTTCAAAAGGGATTGGCCGGGGATCCGCTTTTCGAGCTGGAAAGCCGGATTCCAGCTCGAAAAGCGGATCCCCAAGACAACCTTCATCACGGCCCCCTGTCAGGAGGGATTGGCCGGGGAAGCGCTTTTCGAGCTGGAATGCCGGAAGCGGATCCCCAAGACAACCTTCATCACGGCCCCCTTTTCAGGAGGGACTGGCCGGGGATCCGCTTTTCGAGCTGGAGTGCCGGATTCCAGCTCGAAAAGCGGATCTGCAAGACAACCTTCATCACGGCCCCCTTTTCAGGGGATTGGCCGGGGATCCGCTTTTCGAGCTGGAATGCCGGATTCCAGCTCGAAAAGCGGATCCCCAAGACAACCTTCAACACGGCCCCCTTTTCAGGAGGGATTGGCCGGGGATCCGCTTTTCGAGCTGGAATGCCGGATTCCAGCTCGAAAAGCGGATCCCCAAGACTTGGCTGGGGATTCGCTTTTCGAGCTGGAATGCCGGATTCCAGCTCGAAAAGCGGATCCCCAAGACAACCTTCATCACGGCCCCCTTTCAGGAGATATTGGCCGGGGATTTCAGGAGGGGATTGGCGGGGATCCGCTTTTCGAGCTGGAATTGCCGGAATTTCCAGCTCGAATAAGCGGATCCCCCAAGACAAACCTTTCATCATGGCCCCCTTTCAGGAGGTGATTGGACGGGGATCCGCTCTTGTCGTAGCTTGGATAATTTGCCGGATATTTCCAGCTCGAACAGCAGATCCCCAAGACAACCTTCATCACGGCCCCCTTTTCAGGAGGGATTGGCCGGGGATCCGCTTTTCGAGCTGGAATGCCGGATTCCAGCTCGAAAAGCGGATCCCCAAGACAACCTTCATCACGGCCCCCTTTTCAGGAGGGATTGGCCGGGGATCCGCTTTTTCGAGCTGGAATGCCGGATTCCAGCTCGAAAAGCGGATCCCCAAGACAACCTTCATCACGGCCCCCTTTCAGGGGGATTGGCCGGGGATCCGCTTTTCGAGCTGGGAATGCCGGATTCCAGCTCGAAAAGCGGATTTTGAAGACAACCTTCATCACGGCCCCCTTTCAGGAGGGATTGGCCGGGGATCCGCTTTTCGAGCTGGAATGCCGGATTCCAGCTCGAAAAGCGGATCCCCAAGACAACCTTCATCACGGCCCCCCTTTTCAGGAGATTGGCCGGGGATCTGCTTTTCGAGCTGGAATGCCGGATTCCAGCTCGAAAAGCGGATCCCCAAGACAACCTTCATCACGGCCCCCTTTTCAGGAAGGATTGGCCGGGGATCCGCTTTTCGAGCTGGAATCCGCTTTTCGAGCTGGAATGGATTCCAGCTCGAGAAGCGAACCTTCATCACGGCCCCCTTTTCAGGAGGGATTGGCCAGGGATCCGCTTTTCGAGCTGGAATGGCCGGATTCCAGCTCGAAAAGCGGATCCCCAAGACAACCTTCATCACGGCCCCCTTTTCAGGAGGGATTGGCGGGGATCCGCTTTTCGAGCTGGAATGCCGGATTCCAGCTCGAAAAGCGGATCCCCAAGACAACCTTCATCACGGCCCCCTTTTCAGGAGGGATTGGCCGGGGATCCGCTTTTCGAGCTGGAATGCCGGATTCCAGCTCGAAAAGCGGATCCCCAAGACAACCTTCATCACGGCCCCGCTTCAGGAGGGGTCCGCTTTTTCCGCAGAGACTGTGCTTTGTTTTTCCGCACATTTGGTTGTTTTTTTCCGCTCTGCGGGGTTCGCACGTTTTCCGCGCGCAGCGCCAAGCCTCCCGGCAGATGTGCCCTTGGATTCAAGCTGACTTCATTTAATAGCATGTTTAGCTCATGCCAGGGAGTCCAGGCAGCACTGGATACCACAGGTAGTCAGTTTGAACTGTTAGTTGCTGAACAATTTTCGATTTAGTGGGTGACATGCAATCTATGTCGGAATCAATTGGCAGAGCAGAGCTTCCGATATGTGACAGCCAAGCTGAAGAAGTTGTTGCCCTGGCTGTGGGGCCTATCCGCCGGGCTGGGAAGGTGAACAATGTTGGCCACCTGGTAATACTTGTGCCGATGAGGAGCTTCAGATTCGGTGCCACAAGGCATGCAATGTTCGCTCTGATTCGGTCTGGCTCAAGCCTTGTAGCTTACAGTGCACGAAGCCAGCGAGCTGCTATCCTTGCCCCATCGCCGATTCGGCGCCATGTTCCGTGCAGCTGTCGCAGGTTTGCTGATCCCGGCCGCGGCTGTGGAGTGTGAGCAGGTGCAGCTGGGCGACCGGGTGGACTGCACACGCATGGACGAGGACTCCTGCCGTGCCGCCGGCTGCTGCTGGGGCCCGGTGTCCCCCAACCCGGGCAACGCGCCGTGGTGTTTCTTCAGCAACCGCACCTTGCAGTCCTGCACCTTGGGTGGCGACGCCAAGGCGAGATATCCGATGCGCGCCTTTGTTTGGGATATCAGATTCTCACAATGTTGCCTGGACTCCTTGATAAAGCCCCGAATTTGCAGGTTTCGTGTGGTCTCATAGGAGCGGCGGTTTTGTGCCGGGAGAGGGACATTATTCTTGAACATGCGCACCGAAGGGAAGGTTTGCCGAAGGTTCGCGGAATCACCGTTGAAGGGTTGCCCCGTGTCTGCAGGCACGTGCCCACGTAGCACCGGTCACCCATTGGACCCCAAGGCTACACACGCTTCACTAACACAGGCGGAACATCACATTCCTTACTTAATCTTACTTAAGCTGACTTTCCTTTCTTCGCCAGCACTTTCAGAAGCACATTTGGCACAACGTGCGCCCCGGAAGGTTTGCGGAAGCAAATGAGGGGAAACACATGTGCCGCGAAAATCCTCGGAAGGGACCTCTCCCGCGGCAAGGAAGCGGAATCCGAAGCTTGAAGAATGAAGTTTAAGGGGCATAAAGTTTAGTATAAAGTCGGTACAAAGACCAATGTCGAGTGGAGTAGGAGCCCTTCTCCGACGAGGAGGCGGCTGAGGTGCTGAGGCTCTTCGAGGCCAACCTGGACGCAGAGGGCAGTGGCGAGGTCATGGCGTCCCCAGACCACGCCACGGGGCCCGGGGGCGACTACTACTACGCCTGGGCACGGGATGGGGCTTTGAGCATGCACGCCTACCTGCAGACCAAGGGTGCGGGCGCGGAGGAGAAGATGGGGAAGTGGCTGAGCTGGGTGGAGCGCTCCATGAATCAGCCGGACCCCAACGATGTGGACATCCTGGTGGAGCCCAAGTACTTGATCCCCCAAGGCACGCCCTACACGGGTGGCTGGTGCCGGCCCCAGAACGACGGCCCTGGGCTCCGCGCCGTCACTGCCATGGCCTTTGCGGCCCAGAAGCCGGAGGCAGCTCCAGCACGCAGAGAACCATTGCTCGGAATGGGGACTATATATATAATACTACGCATACATACATACATACATACATGCATACATACATACATGCACACATGTATATAAATATGTATGTAGATCACGAGAAGCTGTGAGCCTTTCTTTTTTAGCAAAACTTCTGAACCCGGAGGTGGCCGGGAAGGTCTGGGAGCTGGTGCGGCGGAATCTGGACTGGGTGGCGGCCAACCACAGCTCTGAGACCTGCGACTTGTGGGAGGAGGTGCGCTCCAGCGACTTCTTCTGGAACCGCTACACCATGCGCAAGGCGCGGTTTCAAGCGGTTTCGCGTCGAACACTTAAACCGACTGAACCGACTCAACCGCATACAGCAAGTCACAGCAAGGTGTGTAGCGGAAATGAGTCCCAGTTCGCGAGGCCCTCATTCTGGGCTCCAAGTTTGCGGCTTCGGCGGGGAAGGATGAGGCGAGGGCGGCCAAGTACTCGACGGCGGCCAAGGAGATCGAGCAGCAGCTGGGTGATCACGTGGATGCCAGCGGCTACGTCTTCGAGTCCACTGATCGGCGCAAGGACACGGCCGTGATCGAGGCCTTCAACGTGGGGGACTTGGAGGATGGGCTGTTCGGGCCGTTGAGCACTCCGGTGGTGAGGACGCTGGCCACCTTGAGCGACTTGTTCTGCAAGAGCTACGCGGTGAACCAGCAGGCGGCGGCGGCCAAAACGCCCGGCGTGCTCTTCGGGCGCTACGAGGGCGACAGCTACGACGGGGGCAACCCCTGGGTGTTGCTCACCGCTTCTGCAGCCACGCTGCTCTACCGGCAGGCGCAGGCTTTGGCCAAGGGCGGCTCCATGGACGCGGATGCCAAGCAGGTGCTGCACCAGCTGTTGGGCCGGGATGTTACTCAGCAGAATCTGCTGGGCGCAGGAGACGCGCTCCTTCTGCTCATGAAGAAGTACTTGACCAATGGCATGCACATGAACGAGCAGATCGACCGCAATGACGGCAGCCTCAAGTCTGCCAAGGACTTGACTTGGAACTATGCCAACGTCTTGAAGGCTATCGCTGCGCGGAAGGCGGCCGCTGCGACGGAGACTTTGGTGATTTGAGGTCTGGACGTCTTGACGTCTGTGCGCATGGAGCTCCGAAGCAGCTCTCCTGGCTTAAATTCAGCGGTTTTGCCTTGATTTTGCCTCGAATTAGCTGAGGGATGCGCCTTTGCCATCCCTTGCCCCCGTTTTGCTTGCGGCATCCAGCGGCTGTTAGTTGAACAGCGCGGAGATGCATGGAGTCTTGGGAGTTGAGGCTTGGCCTGCATCTTTTCCACGGCCAAGTCTACACTCGAAGCTTGGCTTGCCTTAGTGCAGGTCTGAGCCGACAAAAAGAGCTGGCTGCTTCGTCAGAGTCTGCATCATGACGTATCACGTGACATGTTGAGCTCGTTTCTATTTCGATTATCTTTTCAGTCTTTCAGTTGGCCACCTGGTATACTTGTGCACAAGGCATGCAATGTTCGCTCTGATTCGGTCTGGCTCAAGCCTTGTAGCTTACAGTGCACGAAGCCAGCGAGCTGCTATCCTTGCCCCATCGCCGATTCGGCGCCATGTTCCGTGCAGCAGTCGTAGGTTTGCTGATCCCGGCCGCGGCTGTGGAGTGTGAGCAGGTGCAGCTGGGCGACCGGGTGGACTGCACACGCATGGACGAGGACTCCTGCCGTGCCGCCGGCTGCTGCTGGGACCCGGTGTCCCCCAACCCGGGCAACGCGCCGTGGTGTTTCTTCAGCAACCGCACCTTGCAGTCCTGCACCTTGGGTGGCGACGCCAAGGCGAGATATCCGATGCGCGCCTTTGTTTGGGATATCAGATTCTCACAACGTTGCCTGGACTCCTTGATAAAGCCCCGAATTTGCAGGTTTCGTGTGGTCTCATAGGAGCGGCAGTTTTGTGCCGGGAGAGGGACATTATTCTTGAACATGCGCACCGAAGGGAAGGTTTGCCGAAGGTTCGCGGAATCACCGCGGAAGGGTTGCCCCGTGTCTGCAGGCACGTGCCCACGTAGCACCGGTAGCCGGATGGAACCCAAGGCTACACACGCTTCACTAACAGGGCGGAACATCACATTCCTTACTTAATCTTACTTAAGCTGACTTTCCTTTCTTCGCCAGCACTTTCAGAAGCACATTTGGCACAACGTGCGCCCCGGAAGGTTTGCGGAAGCAAATGAGGGGAAACACATGTGCCGCGAAAATCCTCGGAAGGGACCTCTCCCGCGGCAAGGAAGCGGAATCCGAAGCTTGAAGAATGAAGTTTAAGGGGCATAAAGTTTAGTATAAAGTCGGTACAAAGACCAATGTCGAGTGGAGTAGGAGCCCTTCTCCGACGAGGAGGCGGCTGAGGTGCTGAGGCTCTTCGAGGCCAACCTGGACGCAGAGGGCAGTGGCGAGGTCATGGCGTCCCCAGACCACGCCACGGGGCCCGGGGGCGACTACTACTACGCCTGGGCACGGGATGGGCTTTGAGCTATGCAGCCTACCTGCAGACCAAGGGTGCGGGCGCGGAGGAAGAAGATGGGGAAGTGGGCTGAGCTGGGTGGCGCGCTCCATGAATCAGCCGCGGACCCCAAGATGTGGACATCTGTACTAGGTGGAGCCCCATGTACTTGATCCCCCAAGGCACGACCTACACGGGTGGTGGTGACGGCCCCAGAACGACGGCCCTGGGCTCGCGCCGTCATGCCATGGCACTTTGCGGCCCAGAAGCCGGAGGCAGCTCCAGCACGCATGAGAAACCATTGCTCGGGAATGGCGGACTATATAATATAATACTACGCATACTACATACATACATACATACATACATGCATACATACATACATGCACACATGTATATAAATATGTATGTAGATCACGAGAAGCTGTGAGCCTTTCTTTTTTAGCAAAACTTCTGAACCCGGAGGTGGCCGGGAAGGTCTGGGAGCTGGTGCGGCGGAATCTGGACTGGGTGGCGGCCAACCACAGCTCTGAGACCTGCGACTGGTGGGAGGAGGTGCGCTCCAGCGACTTCTTCGGGAACCGCTACACCATTGCGCAAGGCGCGTTTCAAGCGGTTTCGCGTCGAAACACTTTAACCGACTGAACCGGAGCTCAACCGCTACAGCAAGTCACCGCACAGCAAGTCACAGCAAGGTGTGTAGCGGAAATGAGTCCCAGTTCGCGAGGCCCTCATTCTGGGCTCCAAGTTTGCCGGCTTCGGGCGTTGGGGAGGATGAGGCGGAGGGCGGCCCGGCGTACTCGCGGCGGCCAAGGAGATCGGCAGCAGCTGGGGTGATTCAGTGGATGCCAGCGGGTTACGTCTTCGAGTCCACGATCGGCGCAAGGACACGGCCGTTGATCGAGGCCATTCCAAGTGGGGGACTTGGAGGATGGGCTGTTCGGGCCGTTGAGCACTCCGGTGGTGAGGACGCTGGCCACCTTGAGCGACTTGTTCTGCAAGAGCTACGCGGTGAACCAGCAGGCGGCGGCGGCCAAAACGCCCGGCGTGCTCTTCGGGCGCTACGAGGGCGACAGCTACGACGGGGGCAACCCCTGGGTGTTGCTCACCGCTTCTGCAGCCACGCTGCTCTACCGGCAGGCGCAGGCTTTGGCCAAAGGCGGCTCCATGGACGCGGATGCCAATCAGGTGCTGCACCAGCTGTTGGGCCGGGATGTTACTCAGCAGAATCTGCTGGGCGCAGGAGACGCGCTCCTTCTGCTCATGAAGAAGTACTTGACCAATGGCATGCACATGAACGAGCAGATCGACCGCAATGACGGCAGCCTCAAGTCTGCCAAGGACTTGACTTGGAACTATGCCAACGTCTTGAAGGCTATCGCTGCGCGGAAGGCGGCCGCTGCGACGGAGACTTTGGTGATTTGAGGTCTGGACGTCTTGACGTCTGTGCGCATGGAGCTCCGAAGCAGCTCTCCTGGCTTAAATTCAGCGGTTTTGCCTTGATTTTGCCTCGAATGAGCTGAGGGATGCGCCTTTGCCATCCCTTGCCCCCGTTTTGCTTGCGGCATCCAGCGGCTGTTAGTTGAACAGCGCGGAGATGCATGGAGTCTTGGGAGTTGAGGCTTGGCCTGCATCTTTTCCACGGCCAAGTCTACACTCGAAGCCTGGCTTGCCTTAGTGCGGGTCTGAGCCGACAAAAAGAGCTGGCTGCTTCGTCAGAGTCTACAAGCCCACATGCAGCATGATGCATCACGTATAGAACCGACCCACAGCATGCAGCTTGCCATGTTGGACGTGTCTTATGTCTATTGATTGGTATCCTGTAGGATCATGTTATTGAACCATCTTGGCCGCAGAGGCAGACTCGGTTGAAAGCACAGCTTTGTCCATCTCAGATCATGCTTTCCGTGACTCAAAGGCAAACCGTTTGGAAGTGCCCTCAAGTTGAAGCATCTATAGTCAACGTGCTCGCGGTTGATGGCAATTACTTGGGTTATTTGGGCAGGCCAATGTTGGAGAAAGGAGTTGAAGCGCAACCAACACAGCACAGTAACCACCCCACCCCCTAGGATTACTTGTTGAGCTCGTTTCTATTTCGATTATCTTTTCAGTCTTTCAGCTGGCCACCTGGTATACTTGTGCACAAGGCATGCAATGTTCGCTCTGATTCGGTCTGGCTCAAGCCTTGTAGCTTACAGTGCACGAAGCCAGCAAGCTGCTATCCTTGCCCCATAGCCGATTCGGCGCCATGTTCCGTGCAGCAGTCGCAGGTTTGCTGATCCCGGCCGCGGCTGTGGAGTGTGAGCAGGTGCAGCTGGGCGACCGGGTGGACTGCACACGCATGGACGAGGACTCCTGCCGTGCCGCCGGCTGCTGCTGGGGCCCGGTGTCCCCCAACCCGGGCAACGCGCCGTGGTGTTTCTTCAGCAACCGCACCTTGCAGTCCTGCACCTTGGGTGGCGACGCCAAGGCGAGATATCCGATGCGCGCCTTTGTTTG